ACAAATGTATAAACTACAACCTAGAGGCTAATATGCACAATAGCTAGGTTATGATACTGACAGTAAAGGTCACTTAGTGTGCTATGATAATAAAGTTACTGTCAAACACAACATACAATTCATAGACAAACCAATGTTTAGAATTGAAGGGGAGAATAATCATAACAGTGATACATCAAACAATAATAAAACTCTCCCTAATAACAATAATAAAGATAAAGAACCTGTCATACAATGCTCTACACAAGAGTGAAGACTGGCTAAACAAACTATAGGTTTAAATTACAAAGACAATATAAACCTAGTTATGTATCTAACAGAATTTAACAAATTCCTCAACAAAATCTATAACAATCCATTAACATATTATAATACTATAACATACATAGACAAAGAACAGTGGATCAAAGCTATGAAGGATGAAATACAGTCACTTCAACAGTGAAACGTATGGATATATGCTATCCCCCCTACAAACACAAATATAATTGGAATGAAATTTGTCTATAAAATTAAAAGACTGGCTAACAGCTGAATAGACAAATACAAAGTATGATTTGTAATACAAGGATATGCTCAAAAGAATGGAATAGACTTCTATTCTGACAACTTATTTGCCCTAGTAACAAAACTATCAACAGTACAATTATTGTTATCTTAGGCAGCATCTAAGAACTACAAAATACATTAGATAGATGTAAAATCTGTATATCTTTACAGAGAACTAAATGAGGACAAACTCATTTATGTGAAACTGCTGCCAGGTAGGCTACTTACAGATATTAAACCTGGACAAGCATTATGCTTAAATAAAGTGTTATATGGATTGAAACAAGCAGGTAGACAATGGTACAAGAAGATTACTGAACTACTGCTTAAGATTGGATTAGAATGAGCTAATTATGATCATACTGTATTTTATAAGAAACAAAATAATAAAACAATTCTTGTAACATTTATGTATGTTGACAATATTATAATTATTAGCAAAACTATTGCTATAATAACAGTATTTAAACATACATTAAGACAACATGTTGAATTCACTAACAGTAACAAAATACATTAGTTACTTAGTATTGAAATAAGCTGAGATAGACTTTAACAAACAATTAGCTTACAGTAAAAGTATTATATTGAAAGTATAATCAAGTGTTACCACTTCAAAAACGAAAAGGCACTATGAATGCTTATTACTCCTGGAATAGATCTATCTAACAATACAAACAATATGTACAATACAAACAAAAGTAATAATGAAACAACACTATACATAAATATGGTAGGATCATTAAGATATGTTGCAGATTGTACACAGTCAGACATATCTTATATTACTGGGCAATTAGTGTGCTACTTACAAAAAGCCCCAAACACATCACTACAAAGTAGTGAAACATTGCTTTACATATTTAAAATATACAATGAATTACTGGCTTCAACTTGGAAGCACAAATGCCTTAAAACTATAAGACTATTGTGATACAGACAGACAAATGACAGAAGGACATAAAGTAATAAACAGCTACATCTTTCAATTAGCTAAATCAACCATATCTTGGTCAAGCAAACAGTAAAACCTGGTACCACTATCTGTTTACAAAGCAGAGTTGCAAGTGCTAGCATATGCTACTCAAGAAGCTATTTGGCTCAAACAATTCACTGAAGAGGTACTGTAGACTGAATTGGCACCTATTACAATTTATTGTAATAATCAAGGTGTAATAAAGACTGTAAAGTCTGACAAAATAACATACAATGCTTGTACTAAACACCTTGATCTACAAAAAGACTTTGTACAATGTTACATTCAAAACAATTACATTAATGTATACTATGTTCAATCACAGAACCAATTAGTAGACATTCTTACAAAAGCTCTCCACATCCTACAGATCAAGCATCTAAACAAACTATTAGGCATACAGTCCTAGTTCTTAATTAATGCTTGAAGGGGAGTATTAGATTGCACTCTGGATTAGGAAATCCCTAATTGCCTTATGTAGAGTTACTGTGCTTGGAATGCCTTGGACTATCAGACTTCACTATGTAGTATATAAGACAGACACTTGCTTGATGTCTCAATAACAAGAGAGAGTATTTGGGGCACTCCTGCTATGCTTATTAAAAGTGTCTCTGACTGTTAATAATATTAAGCACAATGTATTACTTTTAACCAGCAAAAATAAATTGGGTTTTCTTACATATAACCAAAATATGATCCCTGTTCTGTATCAAAGGTCCTTGAAGTGTCTTGTTATCTCCATATAGTGCTAAAGTGCTGTCACCATCTCTTCCCAGCTTTTTCTTATCTAGTTAAATTGTGAATTAATAACCTGTTTCTGTCTTATACTAATTAGTATACTAAACTAAAAGCATGTACATTTCTCCAGTTCTTTATGGGCAAGATCCTGGTACATTTCCAAGTCACTTCCATAGTCCATTGTTTATGGTTTCTACTGTTCTGTAGCTTGAGCTGTTTGCAAGAGAGAATGAATCAAAGATCACCAGTGAAGATGCTTTTTATAAATGATTTACAGGCTATAAATATTGTGCAACTCATTTATTGTTGCCTTCAGTATCAGCATAAAGTGTGGTAGCACATCTCCGTTGTTAAGCGACAATCGATTCATCTGATTGAAACCAAAGCCTTCAATACTCGATGATGCCTGTTGCTACATGATAGTTCATTCTTCTGATTGATATCAAAGCTTTTAACGACTTATGACACTTAATACACGCAAACCTGAATAAGTTTCGAGTGATCCAACCCGATGTGCATTAAATTGTCATACCAATCTGATGAGCATTAGCTATAGCTGTAGTTCTAAGCAACAGCAGAAACTGATCTTTGTGTGCAGAATGTCAGTGCAAAATTTGCTTCACCAAACAAGTTAAGTGTATACTTTTTCATTACGTACCGGGCCTTCCACCAAGTGCAAAGTAGTAACCGTACGCTGCCCTTTCCGTATTTACATCAAGTAATCATGCGTGCAAATCGCCTTTGTTGCCATACATGTTGAATTTGTTCTTGTGGTTGCTAGGGTTGCCAGACCAACGTATGTTGGGATAGTTCTAATAATGTTTGCGTTGTACCATGCATACACAGGGATTGTCTCGAATATCGGTCTGGAGCTCCATAGCTAGTCCTGTTGGGTTGGTAATAAGTGATAAGTTATGTCCTTCATGGATATTGCTACCAGCTCTACTCAATGGAAACTGGCAATCCGGTTCTAATCTATTCTTCCATCCTCACAGGAGCACACATAGCACTGTGTGATAGCATTGACTAGTCAATCTTCACAGGAAGGCCAGATGCATTCAACGGAGGGTGACTAAGTCTGATATTACAAAGTCTATTCCAATGTTATGACGCACGCACAGAAAAATGACCACCATCCGAGGTTCGAATCTATCTGTCAATTGGAATGCCTGGAAGAATTCTTGCGAGTATATTATTGTTGTCAGCATTGACAGGACATACCTTCTGTCTTGTGGGAATCCAGTGCTCTCACTCTGTCTCTCCAGCGATTCTCTCACAATGACGCCACATTCAGCATCACAGACATAAGCCCCTTGTCAAGAGACCCCAGACGATGTGGGCTTTCCGTCTGAGGAATATGCAATAAAATATATTCAACTTTCATGCCCTGGAAGTGATCGACTGACAGGGGCACTAGTCTCAGCATCCCAGGCGCATATGATGTTGCCATGAGGCCCGGAGACGATACGGCATCCGTCTAGAAAAGGATGCGACATAACAGATCTCGTCTTAATGCCCCCATAGCGGTTCACCGACGAGAGCACTGGCCCCACCATCCCGGATGCGGATGGTGTTGTCATGAGATACGGAGACGATGTGACGTGCATTATGGAGAAATACAACAGAACCGACCCAATATTCATGCCTCCCCCCGCCCCCCCCACCAGTGGTTCATATGAGAACATCGGTCCCAGCATCCCAGATGCAGATGGTCTTGCCAGCAGAGCCAGAGAGAATGAAGCCTCCACCTGGACAATATGCAACGGAACAGACACGACCTTCATATGCTCGAATTGGGGAATCCCCGTTTCAGAATCCCAGATGCTGATGGTATGGGCATACAACAGAAGAGAACGTATTTTTATACTCTATGGAGCAGATCGCCAATGAGGACACCCGTCTCCGCATCCTGGGCACAAAGAACAAGTAAAAATAAAAATAAAATAAAAAACATTATTAGTCATGCAGACGATGCGTATACGGAGAAAACGTGACCGACAACTCTGTGAAGACCACTGAAAACGCTTGCAACATGGTAAGCCAATTTCGAGTGAGCCTTCCAAAATCAAATGGCCACTGGCGAATTCTGGCAGTGTGATTGCACGATGACAGACTTAGACGACGCCCACAGAAAGCTGAAATATGCAGAACTGATTGCAATCGGTTCGTGAAACGCCATCACGAAACGGTGCAAGACTTCTACTCCATTACACACTCATGCGTAGTTCCCTAACTTCATTCTCTTCGACTTGTGCCGAGTGCTCAGAAGAAAGCCTAATTAATAACAATCAGCCATGCGCGCACAGCTCAGAAGTTTGTTTACCTACAGTCGGCTACCGTTCTGTTGAGAAGCTCGAATGAGGAAATACAGATTTATAGCTCTTCAGTGACAAGATCTTCACATCATCGGCCGGAAAAAAGATTCAGACATCCAAGTTTGGTCATCTTGTATGATACACGTCTGCCATCTCTTGTAAAATGCACTGCTGCCTTCATGAGCTCTATGCTGCTGTAGACACTCAACCAATGATAGCTGCGTGAACACTACGGGTTAGTTGAAGGTTGAAACACGATGAGTCGTTGAGTTGGTTGGAATTTGAAAGTTCCCGTCACGTGCCTTTCATAATTCTCGTGACCAAGCCTCGAACAATCTCTTTGTTTTTCTTCCCTCACCATCATGGTTCGTAACTTACTTTCGCTTGTCTACATAGTGAAAAAAACTCAGTCATTTTCATAGATCATTCCTGTACGCTGCTTCTCGTGCGGTAAAGTCGTGGGCGACAAATGGAACGAGTACATGGCATTACTCTCTCAAGGAATTAGTGAAGGGTACGTACCCTTGTTATCTTTTGCTGTGTTTCTCCACACAAGCTAATGGACTGTACTTCTGGCCTATTTTTTTTTTTCGCAACGAAAGTGACGTGCTGGATGAATTGCAGCTAAAACGATATTGTTGTCGACGTATGGTCCTGACACATGTCGACCTGATCGAGAAACTGTTGCATTATAACAGTGCGTGTCTTACAACAGTCTACTTTGGAAAGTGGATGATGTTTATCTAATCCGTCTTATAGGCCAAAAACGTGCAAGGGATCGACTGCCTGTGGGTCCTTAAAGCCAATATTGAGGCTTCATAGTAATAGTATATCGAATTATGTAAAATCAATCCTTGACACACTCTTTCTGGTTCTCATCTACCCATCACCGTAATCCTTGTCTACTTGTGAAACAGGTATCTTTCGTTTTGTTCACACATTGCTTCTCATGCAGCAAAATTGTTTGCGACAATTGGAAATAGTTGGTCATGTCGGTGCTCTCGCATGGAATTAATGAAGGCTATCCCGTTGTTCTCTTCCGCCGTACGTCTTGACAGAAGCCGATGGAGCACTCTTCTATTTACTTGGCCTAGATTAAATGAGGTCTGGATGAACTACGGTAAAATAATTTTGCTGTCGACGTATGATCCTTACACGCATCGACCTTCTCGAGGAGATGCTACGTTATAACAGTGCGAACTTTTACCTATCCACCAGAACGTTGCTAATGTTTACTGATTTATTTCTTACTACAAGGAAAACGCGTGCCAGGGATCAGTTGCCTAAGGAGCTTAGAGTTGACCAGTCGATTTTGACAAGGATCATCCTGTATCTCTTCGCAGCCGATGACATCAATTTTGGTAGATTGGCTATATTGAATAAGCTCACTGAGTTTTTGCTTTTACATCTCTAGGACGAGGTATCAATAAACGGCTGCTTCTTGCCTCAACGCCTAATGTATCTTCACTGTCGCGAGACTCGTAATGACAAACAGCGTGGCTGGAAGGCTTTACGCGTGGGGCACTTCATCTCTCCAAACTGCAAAACAACGTGGACATCTCGCTGGTCGATCCTGAACGACAATGTTTAGAGCATGTGGAGCACTACATGTAGTGAACCTCAATTCAGCAAAAGCAACTATGCTCAATAATATACGTACTCCTGGGTGCATGTTTGCAAACAGTCATGCCATTCGTGGTTGTTATGAGCCTGACTGAACACACAATTCGGTTGCATGCAGTCCACCTGTGAACAAAAATGTGTTACCGCAATCAATTGCGTTTCAGTATGTTGCGCACCGGATGACGCGAAACCTCAAGTTTGTGGTGGCACGGATAGTATTCAGCGTACGAGATGAGGTCAAAGCACATCTTTATCGGCTGGAAGCAGGAGCTGTTGAGCGTGTACAAGAAATTAATTAGGGATATGTTGGGCAAGAAGAGACTGACGAGGTATTTGAGTCTTCACTGTTGGGATGAAAGGCATAACAAGATATGGGAGGGTCTTATAGCCAGCCTGGTACAGAATAAACAAGCATTGTCGATAAAAATGCAGCATATGAAGGAAGAAGCGCCCTTGTCAATCAGGTGTACTGGAGGTGTGCATCGATGGCGTTAGTGACAGTCCGTGGAAGTGGTAGACACACGAGGTAGAATCAAATTTTGACTCACCCAGAATTTTTATCAGAATGAGCTCTAATTGGCTGCTTTCACATTCTGACTGAAATTCTGGTCTATGCAGAACGTAATTCTGCCTTGCGTGAGACTTCCGCGTTTTTTCATACTACATAAGGTAAGGCTCCAGGCATATTCCAGTCCCAGAACAGTGGTTACCCTCTCTGTGCCAAAGCGAAAGTCTCTAGGGAGCGAATTGAGCACGTTCATAGCAAACAATTATGACTACACGTCATCTCTCTCATGGCTTGAGCACTGCGTACTTCTTTTCGAAGACAAGTTAGAAAGCAGAACTCAGTTAAGAGCACAGATCGCATCAGACAAAACAAGACTCTCCCCAGGCAGTGAATAGAGTACGTTCATAGTGGACAATTGTTACAACTGCATGTCATCTCTCCCATGGCTTGAGCACTGCACACTTCTTTCCGAAGACGAGATAAGCGACCAGGGCTCAGTTTAACATGACCTTCCAGCGTCTCGCTGTCCTGCTGGGAGCCAGTTAATGTCGTTTCAGGTCTCCTCCGAAGTAATCATTTCTCCCAATTATGTGTCCGGCCTCAATGATCATAAAAATCAATGCTGGCATCGGATACACTTGGGCCAATGAAATAGGTCTGACGTCGGCTTGTTTTTATAAACCCGATAATATAAAAGTTTCGCGCTCAGGTGCCATATTTATGCAATATAATTCGTCTATAGACCAATACTGCACTGTCCCCCAATGATCCCGAAATAGAATCAAAGGTCATTGGTTCGAAGACTCCTGCTGATCTCCTAATGTCATCTCGTCAAAATCATCCAACAACTCGTCCAGCTTGACTTCAGGGAAGTCCGGCTCTTCTTCACCATCCGTCTCAGCCTCCATACTAGTACTTGGCTGTTCCGGTGTAGGCTCCTGCTGTTCCTCCATGTCCACGTCCATCGTGACCTGCTTTCTCCTTGTCTTTCCGCCGGCAACACCCGATCCTGCCCCGGGCCTTTTATACAGGTTTACGGCCGCACGGGTCTCCTCGTCTTCTTCAATATCCCTCAAGAACAATTCGTAATCCTCCTCGACCTTCTTCTGATCTCTACCGCCCATCCTTCCAATAACACCACCACGAGCGTTGCTGGCATCGGTAGCTTCCTCACCCTCTTCTTTCGCCATACTCTTCAGACGCCACGCCCTAGGCTTGTTCTTCTTCCTCCTGTTCGGGTATGTCTTCCGAACGAGTACGACATCTGGAACACGAGAAGACGGGAGCGCGGTGAACGCGTCCGAGTTAAAGTTTGCTCGACTGAGATGATACCCGAGTACAGTATCACCCGGCTGGAGTATCCCACCAAGATGCGTCCGCGTATGGAAAATTTGGTCTAAAGTCCCGTCGTCGTCGTAATCCATATCTGCATCTCCTCCCTCATTGGTATGCGTAGAAGACGAGCGGAACGCTCCGTTCACCGCAACTTGAGCATCCGCAAGTACCCATTTGCCTTTCACAGGTCCTGAAGGTTCGACGTCAAGGACGGTGAACTCGACGAGGTCGCTTACACCCGCGAGAGCTTCGAATGGTGCACGCCAGTATACTTGCGCACTTACGTCGACGGACTGTAAAGTTGCCGGATCAAGGAGGTGAATGGAGTTCCCTACTCGAGTGCATAGTGCCAACGGCGAGATATTGGATAATGACCGTGCTTGTTTTAGTGGGAGACAGACGAGATCGTCTTTACAGATGGGTGCGATCTCGACTGAGTATGTGAATTTGTAACTTGAGGTATTTGAATGGGTATCGGTCGAGAGAAGTCGTTCAGAAGATTTGGTTCTGGGCAAAAATCAGTGCCACAGAAGTAATTAGTATTTGCAAAGTCAAACTCACCTCACCGGAACAACACCATTCAGAAACTCGGTCATTCTGAGCGCATGACTTCGTTGACTATAGAAGAAATCCAGCCCGTCGCGTACTTCCTTCACAGAAATCGTCTCTTTCTGAGCACCATGTTTCAAAATAAGTTGTTCAAGGAATAGGAAAGTCCGCTTGTGAGAAACCTTCTGTCGGACTTGAACGAGAGCTTTCCAGGTATTTTTTGCGGCAAGTCTCGCGCATTCAGAGCATTGAGTGTATTGTACGATGAATTCCACTTGGAAGACTTGTTGCAAGATGGTTGAAGTGAACACCTAATGACCATCATGTTATATCCCATTTTTAATGAATATGATAATCCCGGCTTACCTCTTTCTGAATTGTAAGCTTCACTTTTATTCGCTTTGAATGAGGTTCCGTCCAAATGAACCCCGAATCGATAAGTCGGACTTTATTTAAACCCTTCAGTTTCTTTAGACAAATTGCTAGCAACTCTCGGGACTCGGGTTCCGCTATCGTCCATGCCGATGGCGGTGAGAGGAAGCGCTCACAGTTCCTGCAAAACGACAGCGATCCTAGAGAAGACGACGAGTTAGTATATGCTACATAGTCCGACACGAACTATCGTGCTCACCCTGTTTTGGTATTCCTTCCGTAATATCGACGCTATCGATACACATCAGGTTGCATTCTTGATGTAGAGATCAAGAAACGTACGAGTTCCGCAGGCATGCAATACATAGATTCGCAGAGTTAGGTTCGATGAGTGTACCTTGACCGAACAAATGAGCACACATAGCAAACATGTATTGATACCGCAGCATACCGCAGTCTGCGCATAACACGCGGTGCACGGGAGGTGCAGCGACGAACTCCATACCGAGCACGACGTCGAGGACAGATAGTGAGCAAGGGTAAGTAAGATACCCGTCAGTTAGTCAGTGCCATCTGAAATTTAGCCTTTGGATTACATAACAATATTACATGAAATGATTACGCGAATTATTTTAATTATTTTAATTTCGCGTTCTTTTACACTGACCATGTTGGCGAGCGTGTACCGTCGTCCCCCTCCCCTTTCGCTCCCTTTTCTTATACCGCGATGCGTAGGATGCGCAAAACGTAGTTATACACAACAGCGCACAGCACGAACAGCTCGTTCAACGACCCAACAAACTACAACCAACCCTTCTCCTTCTGTGCAAACTAAGAATCGTAACCTTCCTCCCTCGGGTTCAAATGTCCAAGAAAAGCCAAAGAAGGCTTCAGCAGCCCCTGAAGCGAATGAAAAGGCATTTTTGAAAATACGGCAAGAACAAAGTGTTCGAGAAATGGAGTCAAGTGGGTCTCAGTTGGATTTGTTACGAATGTCGTTGGCGAAGGGTATTGAACCTTGGGGTGCGAAGACACCACTTATGGGTGCGTACATATTGTTGTTCTGCATCGAAATTAGGATACGTTTCTGACGAATCATTGAAGATTTGCGAATACCTTCGCGCCCAACAAGTTTTCGTGCGATCAAGGAAAACATGAAGAACAACCTGTCGAATATGCTTAGGTCCGTAAATCTCCCATCCATGAATCCAAGCGCCTTTCAATTTAGTCTGAGTTCACTGACGGACGCGCGTATAAGCTAGCATGCATCGCCTTGCAACCGACTTTGCCTTCCCCGGAATAATAACAAAATGGCGAATAAGCCCTCAGCTCTTTCGCGCGAAATCTACCAGCGAGAAAGCATGGGTCGCACCATTCCGAGAAGAACTTTTTGAGCTCTACAGACGTGTCAACGAGGCAATCGCGTCGTAAGTCCTCCCATCTTGCTATCGACTGTTTGCTTTTACTGACTAGAATGAATTTCTTGCTAATAATACAGCGGCGACAAGAAAGCCATAACTAAAGTCACTGCCTATGAATACCAAACCCACGCATTCAAGCTCCTCCAGCGCAACCTTTCTCGTATACCATCAACAGGGTACACCAACACCTGGAAATTTCGTCCACTTTCCCCGGTCCAAATTCTCTCTCTCCGCGCTTTCCCTATGTACACCGCAGCCGAAGAGCCGCGGTACGGCAACCGCAACGTCGTCCAAGCACTCGTACGTTTCGAGTCTATGCAAAGTCTCACCCTTCGCGATTCCCGTGATCGGGTGCTTTTGCCGAATGGCGTGGTTGCACCGGAAGGTTACGAACCGGAGCCGAGGAGAGTATTGGAATATTTGATTTGCGAGAATAAGATGTTTTATAAGGATGGATGGTATGTTAGGGATCAGATGTTTGAGGGAATAAAGCCAAAGTTCAGGGATGTTGGTCGTTAATTCCTGAACTTTTTAAAAATGTTTAGCATAACTTACTTTAACACTAGTTTAAATGAAAAAAGCTGTTCAGGTAGAGTGGTACCTGATCATAAGCCCACCTCAGGATGCGTCAATGAATGTATATATATATATATATAACATCATTCCTCTAAGCAGGATAAATTACATGATAGAAGATGTGAACCACTTGAACTGCTGCTGTCTCATAACTCTGCACGACCAGCGTGGGCAACTGTCTCCGTCAGAGCATCAAGTGTTGCGGTAACAGCGCTTCCCGCCGCAGAAGTAGTGGTCGAAGATATCGAATCCCGAACGGATTCGATGACTGAGTCTTGAACAATCCCTAGTGAGCTCGATAAAGGCTCCAGAATGCTGTCGGTTATTGTGCTAGCGGATTCAGTTATGCTTGATGCATCTTGAACAACGCTAGCCACCGACGCAGAAGGTGCTACGGCTGCAGCAGTAATAGTCGATACAACCTCCTGCACCACGCTTTTCACCTTCACTCCGGCCTTCTCCGAGTCCACACCGCGAACAGTATTCCTCGCACTAGGCAGGAATCGTGTCCACCAAAAAGCAATTCTAATCCCTCGATCCAGTATGCGTTGTTTGAGGATATAGAGAACAACAAGGACGAAGAACGCGAGTGCGGCAAGTATCAAAAGGCGGTCTAACCAGTCTGCCTTTTCCAGTGCGGTGATGAGCTGTTTTGAGGCGTGTGTTGCAAATGAGAGGACGTCGTGCTGGGTTGAGGTTGCGCGGAGCGTTGCAGTGCTTTGTTCTATTTATGTTAGAGGTGTCAGTGATAGAGACGGGGATGAAGAAAGAAGCGTAATAGGGCAGACCGAGCATCTGATATGATAACACTGAGCGCTCCAGCTCCCCTTGCATAAGTCCAATAGTTCGTCGTAATGTCTCCGTGACGTCATTGCTAGCCTTCATAAGTGCATCATCACTGGGACAATCAAAATTCGAATTATTCAGCCTCGCTAATAATCAGATACACAGAAATGCTTACGTCGCTTTCTCCTCGACATTTCGTGAGTCGGGAGTTGCAGCTCTGAAAAGTTCTTCCCGGTTTGACTTTGCTTGCGCGTCAATTGTCTTCTTTGAATGTAATAGCGCAGAGCGCATATCTCTCCGTATACTAACATTTATTGGTTATTTAGATGTCTCTACCCCTGAAGTGAAGAAAGACGAGCATACTTTAGGCTGGACTCGCGAAACTCTTCAACAAGCTGGAGCACAGAAACACGATCCGACTTCCTTACGACATCCTCAGCGCGGACCTCGAGGGTCTATGCATCAGAAGATTTATTTTCTATTAGCCTTCTCATAGCTAGACACAGCTATTAAAGTATCAACTTACCTCGATTTGTTTCCCAAATGCATCCAAGTCCTCTCTCAGTTCAGCTGCGAACCGTTGCTGCTCGGAAAATGGGCCCTTACATCCGCGTAACCGAGGGACCTGATATTCAGCCAGATCCTTTTGGCGTCTGTTTAAGTTGTCTATAAGTCCCTTTATTTCATCGTCGAGAGTTTGAGGTATGGGTGCCATGACACTAAGCGTAGACGTGGAGGACAGGAGAGTACTGAGGCATCACGTGTAGAAAACGCGTCGCGGTCACGTCGCATTATGCTGACTAATGATTGTGATCGACGGCGAACATGTCTGATTGCGTAACTGTAGTGTTGCACCTTCGTCTTATGCAGTCAAGAAATTGATCTAGGTTTATATTGAAGAGAGTCATTTTGTTGCCTCCTTTCCCCTTTCTACTGCATAGGAGAGATGGGCGATGCGGAACAACACGGTAATTGACTGTGATGCATGTACAGGTCATGAACTGCTTTAATGCTTATCAATCCTCTATCAGGACTCAGGATATGCGTTGTTGGCGCAGGTGCCGCGGGTCTCGCTGTCCTGAAAATAATTAAGGACTCTAAAGAGTATAAACGTGGTAATTTGGTGATTGATTCATTTGAAGAACGTGATGATATCGGCGGAACATGGTGAGCACCTGAATGTGTTTGAATTAAATTTTGGTCTAAGACAGTTAGGCTTCCTGCTCCTGCGGCAGACAAGGATATCCCTCCACCTACTCCGATGTACGATTCTATAATCACCAATCTTCCGCACCCAATAATGTGCTACCCAAGCTTCTGGTTCCCACCATCTACACCCCTATTTCCCAAAGCTGAGATTGTAGAAGACTATCTGCGGGCATATGCAAAGGAATTCGACTTAATGCGACATGTACATCTAAAGTGCATTGTCGTATCTGCACGCTGGTCGGGCACTCGCTGGATCGTGGGCGTCCGAACAGCATCCGGTTCTAAGCACGAATCTGAATACGATAAGCTTGTCATTGCCAACGGGCATTATCGCGTTCCATACTTTCCAAGTATTCCAGGGCTCAACTCCTGGCGATCTGCTGGGCGAATCACACATTCTGCGTGGTATCGGCATCCTTTCTCTATTGGTGATAAGGTGCTCGTCATCGGTGGTGGATACAGTGGCATTGATATTGCGGAAGAGATGAGCACAGTTTGCAAACGTCTCATTCACGCTGCACCTCACTCTATCGCGGAATCACACGGGAACATCACTGTTTACTCTTCGCGCGTGATGAGGTTGTCCAACCTTTCGGAGACCAGACATAATTTCGTCGTGGACGGGGATACAGCAAATCCGCTAGACGCAACCACAGATCGTGTACGTTCCGACTCACGGGCCGTATACTTCGAGGACGGGTCAGTCGAAACAGACATAGACCATATCTTACTTGCAACAGGCTACGTTCTTTCATTCCCATTCGTCAAAACCCCTGATCTTCCAATAAACCCGAACCCGCCGCATTTTCCGTTCTCACCCGCTGAGTCACTCCCGGAGCATTTGCACAATGGTGGACACTGGCTCTTTCCACTCGCACGTTTCCTCTTCCCCTTAACAAATGACTTTCCACCAACCGCAGTGGCTTTCGTCGGTCTCCCAGTCCGCGTTGCACCCTTTCCCATTTTCGAGGCACAAGCGCATGCAATTGTCCATGCTTTCGCGGATCCAGCTTCGTTAGACGTTTCAGCGGAAACACAAGAAATCTATTCCCGCATTGCGATATTACGTGCTGATCCAAATATCGGAGATAGCGACAACTCTCTTGCACATGCATGGCATACATTCAGAGGCCGCGAGCAGTTCGACTATCGCGACGCATTGCACGACTTCGCCGGACTTACCGGAGACGAATGGCGGGTTCCCGAGTGGACGGTCGAAGCCTATGCAAATATGAATGAACTCAGAAAATTGTGGAAGGAGATCGTAGCGGCTGGTGAAGCGGATGATTGGGTGAGAGGAGTTGGTGAGGGAGGGGAGGAAGAATGGGTGGAAGTCATGAAGAAGCTGTTAGAAATGGCGAAGAAGCGTACCCGTGACAAGGCGCAACAGGAGATAGAGCTTGAAAAAGTTGTCTAGAGAGCATCTGTGCCTGTTCTTGTCTAATTATGTTTTACCAAAACTGTTTAAAGAAAAGATATACCACCCTCCGACGGAGCCGATAGTATAAGTCAAGATGAACAACCAGCGATGTCATCGGTCTTCTTCATAGGGTTTTCGGCGGATATCTCGCTTTAGTTGACATGCTCATAACTGAAAGTATTTCCAATATTAAGCTCGCTTGTTGATCGTACCTCATCACGTGCCTTTCCACGAAACAAGAGCGGAATGCTAATTGTCAATCACCCTGATCAAGATCATCTTCTTGCTCTATGATGGCGCTTGGCCTGCTTATCAGATCCACTCTTACTATCCAAAGCATCAAATAACATGATGCATGGCTCACTATTGTACAAGGAGGATAATTGGTGTTTCTTCCATTCCCTATCAGTTGGTGCACTGCTGAATGGTACACGTGGCGGTCTGCAAAAGACATTGATTTGAGGTTCTTGACTCTAGTCTATAACGGTTAAGGTCTTTTATATCTGCTTTGTCGGTTCTACTGCCCAATTTGTTTCTCTTGACTTTCTGGTACCTTCGCAACGCAATTGTTTGTGCACACTTTTGATGCCGCAACCAGCATACCTGCTTGTATCAATTGATATTGAATGGATTGGTCTCGTATCAACCTCTTGGTAGTGGGTTCATTCCTAGTCCGTCCGGGCTGTGTTAGCTAGGAGAATAAGAAGCTCTTCTTGAGTTCGTGTCGTCCGTCTCCACTGTCTACATTTAACCTGACTGCGCAAAGCGACTGCTTTTTCAACTTTACCATGAGGCTACTTCCTCGTACAGACGCCGTCTCAGTTGACCCCGAAGAAGCTCAGATACTTGTGTCTCAAGCTTTCGTATCACAATGCTTCCAAGTGTTCACCGTCACCGTGATAGCCTATGACATTAGTACGAATAGCTCGTCATAACCGTAAGTTGGAGGCTGACATCATGTTTGCATTCTAGTGACGACAATGGATAACGAGGTAAGATTAGGACAGATTTCTTTCCGGAGCAGCGTAATAACCAACCATTTAACCAGATCAAATATTTTTGGGTAATGCGTTCTTCACTAACCTTAGTGAAGAAGTATTGACTGGATAGTGTGTAGAAAACTCCCATCAAAATGCCCACTTTGGTGTACTTTGCAGTGCGTAGCTCCATATGGTTGTCCTTGATCGCCTAACCAGAACTCAACATTTGATAGAACCGCTATATAGGACTTCTCGGTGCTGTGTTCTATTCGTTTTGTGAGTGGGTCACTCCAGACCATCATGCAGACAAGTAACGGCTAGATTTCTCTTAGTCAACACCCTAGATGCGAGTCCTGCATTGTACGCCACTTCATTCTACTTGTCATTGTCAAAATGCTGATTTTCCATCCAGGTGTGAGTGCGACATCTCTCAAATAATGTAATCATAATTTACACCCCTTAGGCCTGTTTTCGGTCTGGTCCGCAAATATTGCTAGTGAGCATGACAGTTCATGATTCCTGGGACACTAGCCGACGGTATTATAGTGAACCTGTCAATTATCCTAATCGATTGTGAGTACTAGATCCATTCATATTATGATTCCATAACAATGTCAGACTAATTTTTCTGTGAGACATCTTAATGCTTCGAGTCTGCGCATTGTTCTCTCAAGGTACGAGCTGGATTATGCACATGTGAAGCACTGTCTGATCAAACATGTTATAGAGAGGGTAATATCATTATTTCTGAAAGTTCTTCTGGCTTTGGCAGCCGTGCTCAAGATGGGAATAACCATTTATGTCGTCCAAACATTGTCTTGTAAGGCTCATCACTAAATTCACATGTAGCGACTCATTTTATTCCCGGAAAGATACTGCTGGAGAAATAGGAGGAAACATCAGGATATGTGGTTTCATTGGCTCAGAGCCAGTACAATGGGGTATGGCGGGCTGGTAAGTAATTAGCAACGCGCTCGTGGTCAATCCCTAGTTAAGTTAGAAGCAGGATTGTCCCTCTCATATATGCAGCCATTCTTATGACTATGGCCCTTTACAAAGCCGCTGAATTCTGGAGACTGTCTTCCGGGTTGACAGGGTTCACACTCGTCAAAGTGCTTGTTGTTGATCAGTTCCTGTATTTTGTGACGTTCGTCCAAATAACTCTTGAAAGGAACATCTTACCTTATCCTTTCCTAGTGTCCTCGTGTGCTGCATGTTCAACATACTAATCTTCAAGTTGGACATACCAAATGAATATCTGACCGTTGTTTTTACGATATTAGGAAACCCATCTTTCCTCAGCCTCCTTGGGAGCCGGCTTTTGGTAAACTTGAAAAAGGCAGGGGAAAGGGGACTGAATGAAGGAACGAACTATAGGGTGCCATCCAAGACATTGAGTGGGATAATCTTTGCTTAATCCACAGACTGCTACCATTTCATTTACTATCTATTAAATATTCTAATAGTGTCTACTTGATTTTACCCAAGTTTTCAATTTGTGCAAAATATTCACTTTTTCCATGGTTTTGGGCTGTGGAATTATTTCATTTTTTAATACTGTTCTTTGAGCTTGCTTTGCCTTTGGGCACCTTAGATCTCTGATAAGTGTCAGTTAACGTGCTCCTCTGGGAATCAGTGTTCGAGTGACTGTAAGACAAAGAAAAGTGTTATTTCGAATACACAATTTAGTGAATCCTGATCCTATATTCACAAACAGTCTTGAAACAGATTGTATAAAGTAAAGGACTACGTTGATCACCGACGATTCAAGCAATGTAGCACATATGCTAATAATAATTACCTCTGGATGTTTTGTCTGTGCCCTGCAGCCATCGAGCAGCAATAAAATTCACAGCTATTGAAATAAGTACACGCAAGGAACACATTTAAACAATCAAATGTTGGTAGAGGATGTTTATTGAGATGGACAGCCGTAACGAGACGTATATGTTTGACATGCACAACAATCTCTTTACAGAATTTGGACACAACTTACTAATTTGCTATCTATATCCTTCTGCCCGTTATCCCATTATCACCATCTATTTAATATGTATCCTAGGGTAGCACCCAACCTTGACCCGTTTACTCCGAATTACGGTCCCGTTTGTTGACTGGAACGAACCGACTATGCATGTTCTTCCCACTATCAAAAACAAAAGTTATTATCAATATTTCGAAGTACAGAAGCCTAAGCGCCGAATACAGACTTTCTTAGCTAAATACAGCGCTTGACTTGCTGTTAATCTGTCCTTGGGATTCTTACATAGGGTTCTTTTCACCAACTGTTCTGCTGTATAACCAGTATATTTTGAATATGCACACCCAACATTTGCACTGAGCACTTCGTTTCATGGATGTGAACTTTTATAGCTTACCATAGTTCGAGACGCCTCCGCGCACCTTTTTGATATACGGAAGGTCTGGTTCGCATTGCACAATGTTCCTTATTGTCTCCTCCCGTTTATTGCTTTCAAATGGATGTGAGATAGTCAGGAGCATATATATGACGAGCCTGAAAAGTCAATATTCAACCTTAAGTGGCAGTTTCATAGAGACAATGCACTCACCCGAAGGACCATATATCAAGTTCTTTTGCATCGAAGCATCCATGAATGTGATACTCTGGAGGTGCATATCGTATGCTGAGCATTACACGTACTAGTTCTACAGCATTATAATTGCATGCACTTATGGTATTTACGAATATGTTACTTATTAAATTCATCTGAGAGGGCATCAACTCACTTTCCAAAATCTCCTATCTTCACAGTGTTCGTGTCGAATACAAGAATGTTCTGCAGGCTGACAAAGTCAGATTTCTCAAACCTGATGAGCGCTTAGATAACTACTCACTGTATGTCTCGGTGCACTAAGTTCTCACTGTCATGCATAGCCTGGAGACCTGTAAGAAGATAGCTATAACAGTTAGCGAGATCATTGTTAAACCCATCCAGTTAATAGAGATACTAACCATACATATCTAGCGACTCGATGCTCCGGGAGTCTGCTGTTCAAGATATTTCTCGCTTCTTCTCGGGATTTTGCTCGACGGCAGGCATTCACGACATTTTCCAGTACGTCATTGAGGTTTTCACGGGCACGCTCGAGTACAACTGTACACATGTCTCGCCGATGAGATTTGTCAAAGTACACGTTCAGTTTCTCGATTCGATTGACCTGAAAGCAATAGTAATTCTGTCATTATTGGGCAAAGACAATAAAAAACACTTAGTTACAAATAAATCTGGATATTTCGATGTCAACGCCTGCATTACTTTGTCTTCCAACGGGTATACACCTTTTTTGACCACAACCTTTTTGATCGCAACGTTTTGCATGGTTCCAGTCTGGGTATTCCGTTCTTCTATACACAAAGATGCATTCTAGAACGTTTGATTGGGATCATATTACATATAATGCAAAAACAATGAGATAATGAGAATTTTGGGATCATACTTATTTAAACAATGATACACATCAAGAGTGCTACACACCCATATAGTACCACTACCCCCTCCCACAGGTCCTCCTTCTACTATGTAGCAATAACCAGGAGTGCAAGAATCTATCCTCTGACCTGGTTGCATAGGATATGTACTCTTGAGTTTCCTGTGGAGAATCTGATTTGGGCTGATTGTCAGAGAAAAGATGGAAGGTAGACAAAGGACTGCTGAGATTTCAGGCAGAAGGTAATTTATACAATTTTAAGTGGGAACAACATTGTACAGTTGGACAAGCAAAGATGCAAGTACTAGGAAACAGCTGAAAGCACAAATTTCTCCTACTTTTTCAGATTTGCTATTGACTGTAGCCTGATATTACTGAACTAGAGTACTAACCCATACTCTGTAGGATAGAACTGAATTACATATTTCAGAGTTGCTAAGAGTCTGATTATCCTGGATATTTATCAGAATAGTATGCAGAAACAGGAGGATAACTAACTTAGACTAGTTGAGAGGCCTCAGCTTGTGAAAAGCAAAGTAATGAGGGTCTATTCAGATTTCCAAACCCTACTATTCTAACTTATGCCCAAACTACTGACCAAGCCTAATGTTCACTAATCAGGACAATTGGTTTTAGAGGGGGAGTAATGTATTACCAAAATGTGCAGAGTCTGACAAGGCAATATATTTACATGTAGACTTTATAAGTAAATATAAGGATCCACAATATGTAAAAAATATATGTCTTAGCAGTAAATTCCAATACATTTTTGTGTTCAATTTGGTGATGTGTTACAGTTCTCTGCTCTCTTACCTTCAGTTCTGAGGGTTCTACACCCTTCTGTACTAGAACTCAGGACTTCTGTCCCTTAGGAGTACTGTCTATAAACTATATGTGTGCTGACTCTTACTACTACCCTTCCTTACTTTGTCATTCCATTCCTTTAACCACCCCTTCATTCTCTGTTCATTCTATAGTCTCTTACCCTTTGTCCATCCCTTCATTCTTTGTACCTTTATCTTTAACATTCCTTTCTTTCATTCTTCATGGCTTATCATTCTTAGTAGCTCATACTCCCTGAGTACTCTTGTGTAGTTTAGTATATATAGGTGTATAAGATCAGACTAGTCTGGTAGTCTTGATCTTGTCTACTCTAGGTAGTCCTGTACTCTTAGGCTCACTCTATATACTCTACTCTTGTCTCACTCTCTCTCTCTTCCTGTTCTGCAAGTTCTGACTACATTCTGGTACTTGTGTTCTGTATTTCTGTTGTGTAGAATAGTTGTAGCCTGGGTCCCCTTACTGAGCCTTCAGGTCCCCTCTATACTGTTGCTGACAGTAATGAATGATTTGAATGAGCAAATCCTATCAAATTGAAATTTGATTCTCAACTCAATAATTACATGCTTGCCAGTGTCCATGTTGTGCTAATACCTAAGTAAGGTAGAGTTGATACAGAGCACCTGAATGAAGTTGATAGAAGTCTCAGATTGTCTTAGTAGTATGAGTAAGATTCTTAGTAGGTTCTCAAGTATGTTCCTCAACTAGGTATCCCTTCTAGTAGATAAGGAACTTGAGCTTTCTGTACACCAGTTTAGCATCTACTATGTACTCTACTTTGTATTCTAGTTCAGAACTAATGAGTTCTAGTAAAGGTGGCAGGGGTCTTTGTTGTGAAGGAAAACCTGGATTGTAGTACTAAGACAGTAGGACCTTGTTAAACACTGAGTGTATGTACTTCCATGTTGCTAGAAGTTAGAGTTTGTAGACAGAGGCACTAACCTTCTTTTCAATAACAAAGGGTCTAAAGTACTTGTTGTCCAACTTCTTCATTAGGCAATCTGTGGTCAGGTTAGTAGCTTCTAGTATAACTTTGTTCTTAGGCTAGTAATCCTTAGCTACAGATCTCTTCCAATTGTAGTTCTACTTTATTACCTGTACTACCTTCTCTAAAAGAGCTTGTGTGTCTTCCCTAGTCTTGTATATTTATTCTACAAAGTTTGTTACAGATTCAGAACAGTTGTTCCAGTTTGGAACTGTCCCCTAGTATGAATGTCTTCTATGATTGAGGAAGAACAGGGACTGTTCTGTTACAGAGTGTTGCTAGTTATTGTGCACAAATTCTGTTAGAGCTAACTATTCAGACTAATCTAATTACTAATGATTAATGAACATCTAGAGGTAGAGCTTGATCTTCTGATTGACTCACTCAGTTTGACTGTCAGTCTGTAGGTAATATGTAGTAAAAGGGTTCCCTTGAATTCTAAGAAGTGTATACAAGTCCTGTATGAATTTTAACTCAAATTACAGTCTACAATTGTGAATGAGCTTCTAAGAGAGTCTGTACAACTAGAAAACATAATTCTGATAAATGTGTGTCATACCTTTAGAAGTAAGTTCTGTTCAGGTCAGAACTGTATAGACTTACTTAGAGAATCAGTTAACAATCACACAGATAGTATTGTAACCCTAAGACTTAGGTAGCTTACTGATCAGGTCTACTAAGACTTCTTCCTAAGAGTAATCTAGGATCTGATACAGATGTAGGGGAGCCCAAACCCTAGTCTAGTAGACCTTAGTCTGTTAGTACATATTACAACTAGTCATATACTTTAGGATTTCTCTCTACATTCCTGGCCACTAGTAGTTCCAAGTAATGAGTTCCTGTGTTTTATGTTAGCCTAGATGTTCTATAGTCAGATTGTTATAATAAGCTCAGACAATGTCCTCTCACAGCTTCTGATCCTTTAGAATGTACAGTCAGCCTTCTTAGTAAACCTGTCCATCCTTATCCTCCTCCTAATCCCTAGCCTACTTCTCTAACTACTTTACTACAACCTAGTCCTGTGTGTGTCTTAGAGCTTACTATATACAAGTAATAAAGTCAACATTCTTAGATTTGAGTCAGATCTCTTAGATTGTCTTGAATGCAAAATGGGAATTGTTTAGAAGAACAAGATTTTTGTTATTATTCTCCCCCCTTTCATAACCTACTTGTCTTGAGAGTAAATTAGCTTTTGTCATTTGTGTTCTAGGTTTGTAGGTTAGTACAAAGTCATAGTCCTACAGTTCTAACATTTAGTAGGCTTAGTAGTAGTTGAGCTTCTAAGGCACCTGAAAGTACTAGAGATTAAGGTGATCAGTCTAAATCTTAAACTTCTGTATAGTACTAAGGAGATATTAATACTACTCCTCTAGGGAACAGACAATTGTAAGGAGTTCCTTGTTATAGATAGGGTAGTTCTGTTCTGTTACAGAGAGGGATTCTGATTAGAATACTATCAGACACTACTTTCTATTAATGAACTAAGACAGTACTACTCTATTTGTAAAGTTGGAAGAGTTAGCTTTGACTTAGAACTTGTCTACAACTGTTAGAACTACTAATACAGGCTTACTAGTAATGGCCTGCTTGAGGGACTCAAACACAGACTACTACTAATCATT